AGAAGAAATAAACAACCTTGAAACAATAAAGCAGGGCTTATGGACAACTGCACAGTTAAAGCAATAAAGTACGTCTCATGACAGCATGAAGCTGGAAAGCAGAGTCTGCAGTCAGAAAACCTCTTCAGTTTCAGATTCCAAGGGAAAAATTAGGAAATAAAAAGCACACTTCTACCTCAAGACTTGAAAGCCCCCCAGACTGCGACCACTTTAACTACAACATAACTCCATTACTGCTTTGGTGACAGGAAACAGCATTTTCTCTCTCCACTCAGGCAGGCTTATTCCCTTCTCCCTGTCACCTACCGGGCATAGGAGTAGTCCAAGCTGGCCTGATCAATGCGGTTCCGCAGGATGCCAATGTCAGCAGATACCATGTCATCCAGAGCTTGTAACTCCTTCTGAATTCTTTTTAGTTTCACTGTTTCAGCTTGAGTTCTTTTGGATCTGCAACAGGAAGAGGCCTTTTTTTTTTTCTTTTCAAGCCTCTCTTTTTGACGCAACAGGACCCATTTCATTTGCAGAGCAACTAACTTAAGAGAAGGTTTCTCCTTCACAATTTCAGACTTTTAATCTTTTTTAATATCCACAGGGATCTAAAATGCCTGCTATTAAAGGACTATGGCAAAATTATGTAATGACTATAATCAAAGCGCCTAAAATGGATTGTGTTTCTTTACTGTGGAAACATACAAGAAGCTGCTGTATCTTAGTAGTTCTCAGGGTAAGGAAACAGGAAATGGCTTGTGGGGGAAGCAAGAGGGGGAAGGGTATTTAGCCCTACAAATATCCCCTTTCAAAGAAACCCAGTTAGTAGGGGCCAAAAAGTCACCTAACCTAAGCTTGATTTCCATTTTGTAAAATTATTCCCAAAAGGCCTAGCCAAATCCCAATGAAGTCAATGGAAAGTTTTACATCAAACATAAAGGATTTCAATCAAGCCTTATGCAACGTTTTTCAACTCAGTTTATTCATTCCCAAGTTCTGAAAACTAAATGTTGCTAAGGGCAGTAAGCTTTGATGGATTTCACTCCCAAACAAGCTAAGTAACTTTCAACAAGCTTTTACACCAGGTCACTTTGCTGTCATTCATCACCAGCAGCAAAAACATGCTTTTCAGCCACTGCTTAACCCCCGCAAAGCAGGTACTTGAAAGTAAGACTAGATGTGATCTTTATGATCTTTAATGTCCCTTCCAACCCAAACCATTCTATGATTCTATGTGTAGGAAGTAATGACATCTCTCGTTAGACCAGGTGATGCAGGTGGAGAAAAACAGACATCCTACAGTGCTGTTGAGAGACTGAAGAAGACCTTTGAATGTCAGACATAACTATCACCTTCCAAGTTCTCCTCTATCCCATGCTCTGCTTCCAGGAGGAAGAACCCAGCCTGGTGGTGACACCCATGTTTGGTGTCCTAGAGTGATTCAGATCAAATGTGTCTTATCTCTGCCTGGCAAAGGAAAACAAAACCTTCAGAACCCCAAAGACAATTTTCAGCACAGTACTGGCTATGTTTGCCTGTGCTACCCAAGAGCTTTGATATGCAGAACATAATACACATCTGGGAGAGCACTGTGAACCTGAAAGCTTCACACCTCCTTCCTTGATACAGTGTTATCACTTGCTCTAATATCCTTCCCTACATACCTTCCCTTCGCTTAGCCTTAAACTATCTCAGTGGACAACACTGTACAATGCCTAAAGTCTGGTTCCCTGAACAGCAAGAAGTAACAACTGTGAGAACATGTGAATTTTTATAATTTCTAATCAGCCAGAGGTACAACGGTACCCTCTTAAAATTGATCGTCTTCTCTTTTCAACACTTTTCACATACTAATAAGAAAAAGTCAAAAGCCCAAATAGACATAGTTATAGTTTCCATATAGGAATCAAATACACTTCCCATAAATCCAGTGAAAACAAATCAGGAACAGAGCAGGGATGAGCATCCAAGCACCCTAACTTCCAAATACGCCCTTACTAACATTCACACGGACTCCAGTTAATTCTCAAATTCTGTGATAACTTTTCCATCTGGGCACAGAGCTGCAGCTTTGGAAGAGTGAAAAGCTTGTCACAACTTCTTAGCCAGCACTTGTCATCAAAGGGAAATGTTGATCACAGACGCTCATTTGTGGAGCAGTACATACACAGCACAGAGAAGAGGAAAAAGTGAGATTTAAATAGAAGATATGCGACTGTTGCAGATGAAAAGCAATCCCTTCCTCAGCCTCAGCCACTTACCTCTCAGCAATAGCTTTGGCGAGGAGTGCCTTCTTGCGTTTATTCTTCTCTTCTATCAACCGTTGCTCTTGCTGGAGGATTTCCCATCGAGATTTTTCCTGCCTGTTCATTGAGAAGAAGATTAAAATTAACAGAAAGTTCATTTCTCCACCTGTTCCCCAAATGACACAAATATTCACCATCACATTTCCTGGAGCAAACTCTAAAAATGTCAAAGGAACAATAAACAGGTTTTGGTTCTGAGAAAAGAAGAATCATCTGCAAGAAGTCTTTCAGACCAATAAAACACTTCCAGATGAAATCTGATGATCAGAACAAAAATATTCATAAGCAAGTAAGCTGCTGGTTAATTCAACTTTGCTGGAAGAAACAGCATGGAGCACTTTTTCAGAAATGGATGGAATTTTTCATTTAAGGATGTGTTTCCTCACTAGGTAGAAGCAGTTTCAAGTTTCTAGTCCTGCTACTAGTCACCATCTGTTCAGTCTGCCAACACAGCCTCTTTTTTGGAAATGTTTTTTCCATAAAACAGATCATTTCACAGGTCTGTTTTACAATACAGCCCACTGATAATTAAACTGGTACAAATGAAAGACTGGTAAAAGTTGCAGTGAAAATGAGCAACAGGGAAGAACAAGAATTCAGTTTT